GCCACAACAGGAGGAAACGATCAACCAGAAAGAGGGTGAGTGACCCCCTGCTTCAAAGCTCGGGAGCGCCCACGGCTGGGTGCAGGAGCCTGGGCCTCAGGAAGCAGCACGGGGCGCAGGTCTGACTTAGGGGGACTATCGGGTTGACACCTTTCGTGCCCCAGTTCTCATTTTCTCTCAGCCCCTCAATCTGAAAGTGAGTCGCGGTTCATTTCTTCCTCTTTCCCCATACCCTTCCAATCCCTCCTCCTCCACCCCAAGTTCTTTCAACCCTCCAGGTCATCCGGCCTTTCTCTATCCCTCCACACGATCCGCCTGCCCACTCTGTTCTCCCCACTCTAGAGAAGCCAGAGCATGTGCCTGTGAGTCCAGCCTCACACTGCCAACAGGGCCAATCCCAAGGGAGCTGGGGCCACCGGCTGGATGGTTTCCCCCCTGGGCGGCCTTCTTCCGACAACCTGGACCAGATCTGCCTTCCCACCCGTCAGCATGTGGTGTATGGGCCGTGGAACCTGCCCCAGTCTGGCCACTCTCACCTTAGTCGCCAGGGTGAGACCCTCAATATGCTGGAGACTGGATACTCCCGCTGCTGCCGCTGTCACAGCTACATAGAACGCATGGACTGTGCAAAACTTGTGGTAAGGGTTGGGCTCTTGGTCCTGGGATGTCCCTTAAACCCACACAGTATGTGTGTGTTTTAAGGACTAGAGGCCTCGGCCTGGGTATGTGGGAACCTTAGGCCCTGTCATTGGTGCTATTTTGGACTGCCAGGGGAGCAGAGACAGTCTCTGCTTCTTTCCTATCTACGTGCCCAGGGTCCTTTTCTGGAGCCTGGGAGGAAGACAGGAATGTGGACAGTGCGCTGCTAGGCTGATCCACCCCTCTTGCTCTAGTGGGAGGACGCAATGACCCGGTTCTGTGAGGCCGAGTTCTCGGTCAAGACCCGAGCCCACTGGTGCTGCAAAAAGCAGGGGGAGGCTCGATTCTCCTGCTTCCAGGAGGAAGCTCCCAAGCCGCACTACAAGCTCCAGGACTGCCCCAGCGTCCAGCCTGTTATTTTTTCGGGCCTCGAGCTGCCTTTCCCCCCTGGGGTACCAACGCTGGACAATATCAAGATCATCTGCCACCTAAGACGCTTCCGCTCTGTGCCACGCAACCTCCCACCTACTGACCCCCTCCAGAGGCAGCTGCAGGCTCTGACCCGGCTAGAGGGGGTGTTCCAGCGCTGCTGCCGGCAGGGAAACAACCACACCTGTGCGAGGAAGGCTGTAAGTGGGGTTTCAGCTCCCCCAAGAGCCTGTCTGCCTGCCTGCCCATCTCCGACCTCCGATCCTGCTGGTCCATTCCTCCATGTACCTTCCCACTATGAACACATGTACCCGTCCGCCTGCTTGTGAATGTCCATCGTCCATTGTGTTGGTCATCTGAGTCTGTTCATCTTGAGCCTTCACCCTGCACTCCTGGCCTCGTCCACCCAAGATCCCACTCGCGCGCCTGTCTGCCATCCATGCGTCCAGCTCTGGCCTCACCCGACCTTCTCCGTCTGCCCTCCCAGCTCATCTCCTGTGGCCAGACCCCACCTGTGCTTCTACCCTCCATCTTCCCAAACCCACACATCCAGAGCCGCTTCCTCGCCCTCTGGTTCTTTGTCCTTCCCTTTGGCACTTGGGGTTGGGAGTCCCTTACCTTACAGTGTGGGGCAACAAGGGAAGTGGAAGGTGAGGAGGACAGGGGCCAATATTCAGCCTTTTGACTTCCCTCTTTCTGGCCCACAGTGGGAGGAGAGCCTTGATGGATACTGTGAGCAGGAACACGCTATAAAGACCCACCCCCACTCGTGCTGCCACCACCTTCCCAGCCCTGTCCGCGACAACTGCTTTGCCAAAGAGGCTCCCTACCCCAACTATGACCGGGATCTCTTGACCATTGACCTCAGCCGAGTCACCCCCAATCTCATGGACCATCTTTGTGGAAACCAAAGGGTTCTCACTAAGCAGTAAGTCTTGCATAATTCTTCCCCAACTCTCTCCCCTTCCCCCAAACTTCCCTTTGGGGCACCCTCCTGGGCTGTCTTGGCAAGAACAAAATCATGGTCTCCAAGCACTGTTTTTATTGCCTGGGGGTTGCTAAAGAGCCTGACCCCTGCCCCTTTCCCACCACAGTAAACAGATTCCTGGGCTAATCCGGAACATGACTGCCCGTTGCTGTGACCTGCCACTTCCAGAGCAAGCCTGTTGTGCTGAGGAGGAGGTGAGTGTGGTGCAGGCCATCATAGTTTCCGAGGGAATGCGGGGGGGGGGGGGGGGGTGCCTGGACCTGGAGGCTGCCCATACTTTTAGGACATCAACGCAGCCCACAGAAATGAGAACTAGGCGTGGAGGTCTTTTTTCTTGGGTCCAGAAGTCCTCATTCCTGACTTGACCTGCTCCCCACTGCCAAGTTCCTGTTAAGCTCCAAGCATTTCCAGATGTGCACATCTGTCCATCACAGGAAATCTAGCAGTACAAGGCGGCCTTGCTTTGTCTTTGGACCCCAGGAAGGGATCAGGAGGAGAGCAGAAGCTGAGGGAAGGGGGACTTTGCACACCCAAGCATCCATGCCTGACCTCTTACAACCCACTCCCTCACCATCTCTGCTGTTTTCTTCTCATTCATCAGAAATCAGTCTATATCAGTAACCTGTGTGGTGAACAAAGAAACATCTGGCGAGACCTTGCCTTCTGCTGTAAACTGAATCCTGGGGATGAACAGATCAACTGCTTCAACGTTAATTATCTGAAGAACGTGGCTCTAGTGGCTGGAGACGCTGAAGATGACAAGAACCAGGGGAAGCAGAACCCAACTCAGGGAACAAATATCAGTCCCGGCCCTTGAGCCCAAGGAAGAGTGAGTCACCCCAGAGCTCTGGAGGATCGGACTGGGGGAACCCCACCCCACCCTCCTCAAATACACAGTAAACACCTCTGGGATTTGGCACGCTCATTGTCTGTAATGTCTCACATACAAACACACCCTCCTAAGGCAGCCTGCTGGGATTTTCTTCAGTGACTGGACCCTGAGGCCCACTGCCCTGCCCTTACTGACTGAGCAGTCATTCCACAGGCTGTGATGGAACCATAAATAAACGACTTCAATTCACTATTTGTCATCTTGAATTTATTCACATATTTAAAAGAAATGTCACCTTGTTAGCTGGCTACCAGGATTCAGAAGCGAAAAAAACATGGTTCCGGTCCTTGGTGAGCCCCTGAAATGCCACAGCTCTACCTGACACCACTTTTTTAAAAAGATTTTGTTTATTTTTAGAAAGAAAGGGAGGGAGAAAGAGGGGGTGAAACAGTGATGTGTGAGGAAAACCTGGCTGTCATGCCAGGCATGTGCCCTGACCAGGAATCCACTGAACATCACCAGTCAGGCCCATGATTGACACTTTTTAATCTTCTTTTTCTTTTATTTTATTTTAGATTTTATTTATTTTACTTTTAGACAGAGAAGGGAGGGAGAAAGAGAGGGAGAGAAACATCAAAGTGCGGTTACCCCTGGGATGCCTGGCGCCGGAAAACCTTGCCCACAACCCAGGTACATGCCCTGGGAATTGAACCAGCAACCCTTTGGTTCGCAGGCCGGTGCTCAATCCACTGAGCCACATCAACTAGGGTCGACACTTTTTAACCTTAACTTTTGATCCTTGGAGTCCATGTCTTGGTTATTTCAATATCCACCTATTTGAACTATCAGTGCCCACTAGTCCACTATCGGTGTCCAAAAAGACCTCCGCGCCTAGTCCTCATTATTTCTGTGGGCTGCTAGTCAGGCCACGCACATTTCAGGCACCGAGCAGGTGTCATAAGTGGTGTGGCACAGAGATTCTGCAGAAGCGCTTGTATGCTGAGTGCCCAGAAGTGGGAGTTAGGGCTGGGGGCAGTAGGGGTGCGCTGGAGAAGGCCTCACGTTGAGGTCGGAGCTTCCCCAGGAGAGAAGTAGAAGATGCAAGGGACAGGTACCACCCAGGCAGCGGCAACAGCTCCTGCAGAAGCACAAAGGCTGAAAGGGCCTCAACTGCAGCGGTGATCCTCTGAGATGTGGCTGCAAAGATAAAGCAGCTCATCAGGAATGGCTCAGCCACAGGTAGTAAAGTGGATCTTGGCGCCTCTGCCCGCGAGGGGCACCAGCGGTTTCAGGCAGAGGATGTGTTCAGATATGTCTTTTACAAAGTCTAGTCGGCAGCTGGCCAGGCAGGTACATGGGAGGCCAATTCGGAGAGTGTATGGGGAAGGCCAAGGGGAGGAGGCTGTAACCGTCAGACCTAAGCTGGACCACAGGTTGGAGGGACTCCAGCCCTTTAAGGCTCACCCCTGGAAACCGGAGCCGAAAATTAAGACTCGGAATTAAGACGAGTCCGTAGAGACTCCGCTGCTAGGACAACAGTCCGAGAAACGGGACTTGCCTGGCCCGGGTTATGGCGGAAGTGAGTGAGCCAAGGGCCCCGCCATCCTGCACGTCAGAGACAAGCGGGGGCCCAGCAGCTCTCAAGCCGACACAGCGACTCCCCTCTTCCAACCCCGACAGCCTTTTATTTACTGATATTTTGCCGGGAAGGCTGGTACTAACCAAGCAACGTCTTAGTGGCTGTTTCGCTAGTCCGTCAGCACAGGAGCCAATGAGAGAGCGAGAACAGCAGTTGCCCCGCCCCTTCACCGGCAACCCAACGCTCCGGAGACCCGGGCAACCGGCGCTCGTTACGCTCTCGAAGGGCGTCACGGGGCCTGAGCGGAAGTCCGGCGTACTTTCGACGGGCCTTAGGACCCAGAAACTGGAGGGGGTGAGGCGGAACAGGTCTTTCTCCTACCCACTCACCCATTAGCTTGTCCTTCCTCGAGGTCGTTCCGAGCTCTTCGGGAGCTGCAGATCCCGGGCGGGTGAGGGGACCCGCGGCACGCTCAGCAATCGATGCTTTCTTTAGTCTGCATTTGCAAAGCACAATTCCAAGTGCTGGATGGGGAGTCCGAGACGATTAGGACCACTGTCCCAACCTGTCGGAGTTTACAGTTTACCCGTGAGGAGAGGAAGGGAACGGGAAAGCAATAGTAAGCAGCTGTAATGAAAGAATATCAGTGCTAAATAAGTATACGCATCATCAGCTGAGTTAAAAGAAGTCATTTTCACTAGGGGTCAGCGAACTATTAAATGAAGGAGGTGGCTTTGGATAGACCCTGGAAGCGGGGATGGGATTGCTGTTAGTTTCCAACAAAAGTTGAAAGTGTTTACATCTACTGCAAATTGTATAAATTATTAAAATATAGTTTATAAGGTTCAGTGGCGGTGGAAAACGGAGTCAGAGCACCAAACTACTTGGAGGGGCCTGAAAAGCCTCTTGGAGGAATTCAAGCTTGAGTTCGATTTTGCTGGAAGGAAAGGGGAGGTTTACAAAGCCCTAGGTGTATGCAAAGCTTAGCTACAGTAAAACAGTGTTCGTTTTGTATTAGGCAAAATGGTAAGTATTCTGGGTAAAATTCTCAGGGATCATTGGCTCTGTGGAGACCTGAATATCCGAGCCTGGCTTTCAGGGAGATCCTGGGAAAGGCCATAAAGCACAAAGTGTGGTATCTGAAGAGCCACTAAATAGTAAAAATGGAGTGAGGAAGTGGCTAGATAGAAGGTTAGAAATTTAGATTTAGTCATGCTTTCTGGAAGACCTTGAGAGACTAGATAGAAGTCATACCGACCTGGGAAGAAGCTCCTGTGAAGGATTGCGAAAGAAAAGTTACGTGAACAAATTCTCTGGCTGGGTAACCTGGTTAGAGCACCACTCCATACACCAGTGTTGTGAGTTCCATCCCAGGTTGGGGCACAAATACGCATCAACCAGTGCTTCATAAATAAGTGGAGCAACAGATCGATGTTCCTCTCCCTTCTTCTCTCTATAAAATCAGTAAATGAAAAAAATTTTTAAGAAAATTGATGTGAGCCCTGGCTGGTGTGGCTCGATGGATTGGGTGCCAGCCTGTGAGCCAAAGGTCACTGGTTTGATTCCCAGTCAGGGCACATGCCTGGGTTGTGGGCCAGGGCCTGGGTTATGGGGCCGGGCCCCGGTTGGGGGCATGTGAGAGGCAACTGATCGATGTTTCTCTCCTCTTTCTCCCTCCCTTTCCCTCTCTCTAAAAATAAATAAATCTATTAAAAAATTGATGTGAAAAGATTTTTTTTAGATCTCTCTTTTTTAAAGACTTTGTTTATTTTTTAGACAGAGGGAAAGGGAGGAAGAAAGAGAGAGAGAAATATCAATGTGTGGTTGCTTATGCACCCCCAACTGGGGACCTTGCCTTTGGGTATGTGACCTGAGTGGGAATTGAACTCATGATGAATGTGATGAACGGCCCTTTGGTTGGTAGGTAGGCCAGCACTCAGTCCACTGAGCCACACCAGCCAGGGCAAAGTATGTGCTCTTTTGTGTTTGGCTTCTTTTGCTCATTATGTTTTTGTAATTCATCTGTGATTGTATATAGCCATTCATTCACCTTTTTTTTTTTAAGATTTATTTATTTATTTATCTTTAGAGGGGAAGGGAAGGAGAGAGGAAAACATCGATGTATGGTTGCCTTTCATGCATCCCCTGCTGGGAACTGGCCTGCAACCCAGGCATGTGCCCTGACTGGGAATCGAACTGCAATCCTCTGGTTCACAGGCTCGTACTCAATCCACTGAGCTACACCAGCCAGGACTCACCTTTTTTTTTTTTTTTAAGATAAATGGACAGACAGGTGGATAGCAGTAGATGAGCTGGAGAGAGGCTAGAGACAGGGACCAGATCGGAGATTGAAACTGTAATTTTTCAATATCAATAGAACTGAGGAACTCTGAGATCCAGAACTCTGTTCATGATACAGGGGAAGAGAATGGGATGGGGAAAACATCTTTTAAAGATAGTTAGGAAATGGGATTGATTCACCCAGTTTGCTGCAGATGTCCAGGATGACCCCCACGTTGGAGCTCTGGGTAACTGCAGGGCAGGATATGCAGGAAGGGGATAATAAGTTCAGTTTCGGAGTCCTCAGTAGTTGACATCCTTAGTGAAAGTGCCTTCAGGGGGAAAATGTCAAAGCCAAAGTGTAGGGAATTTATTTGAATGGGAGACATAGAAGGGCAGGCAGCAAGTATCATCTACTCTGTGAACGTACTTCTGCACTGGAGACCAGCGGCCCATTAAGACCTTGGGAAGTCTCTTCCCTACCATAAATTTAGCTTGCTCAGAAACGAACTCCTCGGGGTACCTGGGATGACATGAAAAGGAACATAGAGCAATACGTGAGTTGTAGAACCTAGGTGGTGGTTATAGAATGTTTGCTGTACAATCTCTCAACTTTTCTTCATTTTTGAAATTTTTCATAAAATATTAAGAAAAAGGAGCTCATCATCTCTATCCAACTGTTCCTCCCCTGGTGGGCCCCATCTCAATAAATAGAACCACTATCTAATCAGTTGTTTAGGCAAGAGACTTGAGAATATTATTCTGTTTTTATTTTTAGAGAGAGGGGAAGAGAAGGAGAGAAACATCAGTGTGTGGTTGCCTCTCACGGGGCCCCCACAGGGGACCTGGCCTGCAACCTAGCCATGTGCCCTGATTGGGAATCAAACTGGCAACCTTTGGGTTTGCAGCCTGCACTCAATCCACTGAGCAATACCAGCCAGGGCAAGAATATTATTCTTTAATTAATCCTGCTCCCTCCTATTCCAGTCACCCATCAAATCTCCTAAATATCTCAAGTCCATCAACAATGGTGTTGCTCCTTACACCAAGGTTAGGTTCAAAAATCAGTGTGTAAGGCAGAAGTTACATAGTCAACAGAATCTTTGGAGATCCCTTAAGTTATTCACAGAATACAGTAAACCTGATTTTGTGTGCATCACTCTGTACACAAAACGTATGTGTGAGTAAGTATGGGTATATAAGCATGTACTGTACATGATAAGGTTCAGTATATCATGGTACACAATATAACAAAGTACTTCTAACTACATACGAAAGAGATAATGCTGCATATAGTTGAACAGGGCACAAGGACACTGTATTCTCCAACTCTCCACTCCTCCACCCTAGTCCAAGTTTCCACCAATGCTCAGAATTATTGAAATGGCTTCTTAAGTGGCCTCCTGGCTCCTACTCCTGACCGTGTCCAATCTGTTCCCGATGTTCCAGGCCGAATGAGCTAACTGATCCAATCAGGTCACTTCACTGCTTTAAAATCCCTCACTGATGTTGCACTGTTCCTCAGGACGACGTCTAGAACACTGACGTGGCTGCCCAGTTGTCCACCAGCTGCCTCTGCCCAGTCCTCAGACTTCGTTCCACTTGTTCTCTGAACCCGGCAAAATAGAGCTGGTCACCTTTCAGTTCCTCAGATTCACCACATTCTCCTGAACGTCTGTGACTGTGATCTGCTGCTGCCTCCAGGTAGAATTCTCTTTCGCTTCTGCCCAACTGAATAAGCTCTGTTCCCTGTGGCAGGGGCTTTTTGTCTACCCAACAAGCCACCCTCCTTCAACACCCCCAACACTTTGTTCTTGCTGAATTTTAAATTAAAAATAAAGCATTGTGGAAAATAGCACACATTTTTAAAGTGTGCTAAACATCATTGTATAGTTCAGTGGGTTATTATAAAATGGAACTCCCTCAACAACACCCCAGGTCAAGGAAAGGACATTGCCACACCCAGAGCTCCCATAATGCCGCTTTCTGGACACAGACTCCTCCCACCCCTGTAAAGTAACCAGTATCCTGCTCTCCTGATACTTATGGTGATCACTTATTCGTGTTTTCTTTATAGTTTTACCACCTAAAAATGAATCCTAAGAGCAGTCATTTAGGTTTTCTCAGAAGAAGCTTTATTGAGATAATCCACATTCACCAATTTGAAGTGTACAATTCAGTGGTTTGGGGTATGTTACATTATTAATTTTTTAAGATTGTAGTAAAAAATATGTAACATAAAATTTGCCATTTTAACCATTTTTAAGTATACAATTTAGTGGCATTCATTACATTCCAAATGTTGTGCAGCCACTGTAACTATGTATTCCCAAATGTTTTCATCACCCAAAACCAAAATTCTATAATCATGAAGTAAAAATCTCCATTCCCACCTTCTACCAGCCCCTGGTAACTTCTGATCCTGTATGAATTTGTCTATTCTAGAAACCTTGTGTAAGCATCTTCAATATTTGTAGGTGCTTCTGGGTCTTGCTTACTTCACTTAGCACAATGTTTTCAAGGTCCATCCACGTTGTAGCATGTGTCAGAACTTCTTCCTTTTTATGGCCGAATAATATTCCGTTGTGTGGGTAGACCAATTTCTGTATCTGCTTATCTGCTAAGGGACACTTAGGATGTTTCCATCTTTGGGCTCTTATGAATAACTAGCACTTAATTTTGCCCAGTTTTGAATGTTATACGAATGGAATCAGACAATGCATTTTTTACGTATCTGGCTTTTAAAGCATGCGTTCATATTAGTCCATATACCCTTAGTTCATTCATTTTCCTATAGAATTCCATTTCAGAAATATACCAAAATCTATCCGTTCTACTGTTGATGGATAGTGTTTTTTCCCACTTTTCTGCTGTTTCAAATATGGTAATATAAAAACGGTACATATTACATGCATTTTTGTTGACTATACAGCTAGAAATGGAATTGCTGGTCATAGAATCTCTTCAGGTAGAAGGTGCCCAAGTGGTTGTACAGGTTGAAGCACGAAGTGGTTCTACTTCTGAGGGTATGAGTTCCCTTGTTCCAGTCCTCACCAACTCTTCACGTTGTATGTCTGTCTGCTCAGGCATTCTGGTGAATTTGTGTTGGTATCTCAGTGTGGGTTTAATTTGCATTTCTGTGACGATAGATGAGATTCAGCACCATTTTATATGTTCACTGGCCATTTGGACATCCTCCGAGAGATACCTGCTCAAGTCTCTTGCATATTTTTATATTAGACTTTTCCTTATTAACTTGTAGTTCTTTATTCTGGATAAAGGGAATTCTTTGGCACGTAATATGTTGAAAATATCTTACCCACTCTGTGTTCACTCCCTTAATAGTGTCTTTAGGAAAAGATGTTCTTAAATTTAATGTAGTCATTGTGTTTCTTGCTTTTTCTGTTTTAAAAAATCTACACCCAGGTCACAAAGGTCCTCTTCATTTCATCTTCTGAAAAGTGTTTGTTTGCCCGATCTCATTACGACTAGTTTGCACCTGGAGCTGATTTGTACTCATGCTGGGAGGCAGGGCTCATGTTTCAGCTCTGCAGCAGCAGTTTGTTGAAAGGACTGTCTTTCTTCACTACTCTGCAGGGGGGCATTTGGCATAAATAAAGTGTCCGTGTTTGCATGTTTTTGTTTCTGGGTCCCCTGTTATATTATTTGTTCATCCCCCCCACAGTACTACAGCTTTATAACAGAATTTGATGTCTATAGAGCAACTCCTCCCATTTTATTCTTTTTCAGGAGCATGTAATGATCAGACACAAACGTTAGGAACAGTTTGTACAACTTTTTTATGTAGGTATTAAAAATAGAAAACCCATGTCGTTGCCATCCTTTCCTGAGTAGTTATTCCAGTGACTTCCCGGTTTAGTAGTTGGCCGCGTTGTCACCAGTCACGTGTAAGTATCCAGCACTTGAAATGCGGCCTGTCTGAATGGCTAGTGTAAAAAATGCCAGATTTTGAAGACTTGGATGAAAAAAAAAGCAAGCTACCTTATTAGTAATTTTGTGTTGATTACATGGGTTTTTAAAAATTTTTTATTGATTATGCTGTTACAGTTGTTCTATTCCCCCTTTCTTTTCTTTTTTTTTTTTTTAAAGATTTTATTTATTTATCTTTAGAGGGGAAGGGAAGGAGAGAGGGAGAGAAACATCAATGTATGGTTGCCTTTCATGCGTCCCCTGCTGGGAATTGGCCTGCAGGGAAATGGTCTGCAACCCAGGCATGTGCCCTGACTGGGAATCGAACCTCAATTGTCTGGTTCGCAGGCCCGTGCTCAATCCATTGAGCTACACCAGCCAGGGCCTATTCCCCCTTTCATTCCCCTCCACTCTACCCCCCATCCCCACCATTACCCCCCCTTTAGTTTATGACCATGTATCTCAAGTCCTTTAGATTCTATATTTCCCATGCTATTCTTGCCCCCCCATCTATTTTCTATCTACTGTCTATGCTACTTATTTTCTGTACCTTCTCCCTCCTTCTCCTCCTCCCACACCCCTGTTGCTAACCCTCCTTGAGATCTTCATTTCTATGTTACCACTCCTGATCTAGCTGTCCTTTTAGTTTGCTTTTGTTTTAGGTGTGGTTGTTAATAACTGTGAGTTTGTTGTCCTTTCACTGTTCATGTTTCTTTAACTTCTTTTTCTTAGATAAGTCCCTTTAACATTTCATATAATAAGGGCTTAGTGATGATGAACTCCTTGAATTTGATCTTATCTGAGAAGCACTTTATCTGTCCTTCCATTCTAAATGAAAGCTTTGCTGGATAGAGCAATCTTGGTTGTAGGTCTTTGGATTTCATGACTTGGAATACCTCTTTCCAGCCCCTTCTTGCCTGTAAGGTCTCTTTTGAGAAATCAGCTGACAGTCTGATGGGGGCTCCTTTGTAGGTGACTGTCCCCTTAGCTCTTGCTGCTTCTAGGATTCTCTCCTACATTTTAATTTTGGCTAATGTAATTATGATGTGCCTTGGTGTGTTCCTTCTTGGGTCCAACTTCTTTGGGACTTTCTGAGCTCCCTGGACTTCCTGGAATTCTATTTGTTTTGCCAGATTGAGGAAGTTCTCCTTTATTATTTGTTCAAATAAGTTTTCCACTGGTGGCTGTGCCTTTCCCCCTTCTGGTACCCCTATAATTTGGATGTTGGAGCGTTTAAAGATGTCCTGGAGGTTCCTAAGACTCTCCTCATTTCTTTGAATTCTTGCTTCTTGACTCTTTTCTGTTTGGCCATTATTTGCTTTCTTCTGGTCCACTCCATTAATTTGAGTCCCAGTTTCCTTTTCATCGCTATTGGTGTCCTGTGCAAGTCCATTCATTTCAATTAGTTTCGCCTTCATATATTTGTCTAATTTGTGGCTATAATCAACCAGTTCTGTGAGGATCCTGATGACCAGTGTTTTAAACTGTGCGTCTGAGAGTTTTGCTATTTCTTCATCGCTTAAATCTATGGGCTCTGGGGCTTTGAGATCTTCCTGTGCCATTTTTGGTCTGTTCGTGCCCTTTAAGTGTGAGAAGCGGCGCCTTGGACTCCCAGGTCGCTGGGTTGTGACGCTATATGTGGGGGTGTGGTCAGAGCGGGGAAATGGTGACCCCCTCTGCTGTTTCTCACAGCTGGGTGAGGAGCAGAGGCTTAGGTGGTTCACCTGGGCCGGGCCACTCAGAGTCGCTGGGTTATGACGCTGTATGTGGAGGTGGGGTCAGAGCAGGGAAATGGCAGCGCCCTCCCTGCCTGCCACTTGCCGCGGGGACCCGCTGGGTCCTGGTCCAACCGCCCACTCCCTCGCCTGTCCGCCCGCGCACAAATGCGCAACCACAGTCAACACGCAGCCCCGCTCCCCCGCGGTTGTCTCCTCCGCGGTTGCTCGCCTGGTCGCTCGCTCGGTCGCTCACTAGGTCCAACCCTGCACCTGGATTCCGCACGTCTGGATTCCGTGCACCTGAGTCCATCTGACCGAGTTTTCCTGTGCAACCCCGCTTCACCAGCTGCTGGTTTCGCCCCTTACCGGTCAGGCTGAAGAATTTGTTGTTAACAGACTTCCGAAAAGTTCAATTTTCCGTGTTTTGGCTGTTTTCTGTTGCTAATATTTAGTTGTCTCTAAACTTGGTTGTGTGAGAAGGCACGGCACATCCACCTATGCCTCCATCTTGGTGGAAGTCCTGTGTTGAGTACATGTTGATGTGATAGTTTATATTGAGCTAAATGAAATGTATTATTAAAATTAATTTCACCTGTCTCATTTTACTGTTTTGAAAATGTGGCTACTAAAAAGCTTTAAATTACATATGTGGCTTGTATTTGGGGCTCACATTGTATTACGTCTCTATTGGACAGTGCGGTGGGCTGGACAAGGGCCTCCTCAAAAGATACCCAGCTCCTACTTACCTGGAACCTGTGAATGTTACCTTTTGTGGCAAAAGGGACTTCACAGGTGTGACTGAGAGTATGGACAGTGAGATGGGGCAGTTATCCTGGATTATCTGGGCAGATTGTAAATGTGGTCATAAAAGTCCTGATAAGAACACTGATTGACATGGGACAACAAAAGGGGAGAAGGCGTTCAACTGTGGAAGCCTAGATAGGAATGACTGATGGGGGCAACTAAACAGGTGCTAGAAAAAACAAGCAAAATATTCTTCCCTGGAGCCTCCCGAAGGAGCCAGCCCCGCTCCTCAAACGTGGATTTGAGTTCTGTAAAACAAGACTCTGGACTCAGATTTTTGGAATTTCGGCTTCCTCCATGACTATCAGAAAAGAAATATCTGTTGTTTTAAGATACTAAATTTATGGTAATTTGTTACAGCAGCCATAGAAAACTAATACACTGTTAATCAATTTTTAAAATTTGAATATTATACACACCATATACTTGATAAAAATTTAGGCCATTGCCCTGGCTGGTGTGGCTCAGTGGCTTGAGTACTGGACTGTGAATCAAAGGGTCACCAGTTCAATTCCCAGTCAGGGCACACACCTGGGTTGTGTGCCAGGTCCTCAGTAGGGGGCGTGCGAGAGGCAGCCATACATCCATGTTTCCTTCTCTCCCTCCTTGCCCCCGTCTCTAAAAATAAATCAATAAAGTATATATTTTTAAATTTAGGTCTTTAGAGCCCATTATCAAAAGTATGGGAAAAACTAGACTACCAGTCCCAAAGATGCCAAGGATAGCTTATCATTCTGCGAGCGAGATCCAAGACCAGAGTAAAGTTGTGTTTGATAGACAATTCTACTGACCACCCGTGAATACATCCAGAAGAGAACATCCAGAACTTGTATACCTCAATAATGAGAAAAAAAACACCCCAATCAAAAATGGGCAAAATAAGAATAGATATTTCACCTAAAAAGATATAAAAACAGTTCATCAGCAAGTGAAAAGATGCTTAATATCATTAGTAGTTAGGGACATGGAAATCAGAACCACAACAAGATACCATTAAAATGGCTATAATTAAGTCCTGACTGGTACGGCTCAGTTGGTTGGTCATTGTCCCACAAGGCAAAGGGTCACTGGTTTGGTTCCCAGTCAGGGCACATGCCTGGCGTGCGGGTTTGGTCCCTGGTCTTTCCCTGGTCAGGGTGCATCAGTGTCTCTCCCTCTCTTTCTCCTTCCTTTTCCCTCTCTCTAAAAACAAGTAAAAAAAAATCTTGAAAAAGAAACTTAAAATGGCTATAATTTAAAAAAATACAGACAACAAATGTTGGCAAGGTTGTGGAAGAACGGGTAGGCTCAGATACTTCTGGTAGGAATGAAAAAATGGTACAGTCCCTTTGGAAAACTGGCAGTTTCTCAAAAGATTAAACATACATTTACCATAACCTAGCAATTTCACTCTTTGGTACCTACCCAAGGTAAATGAAAACATATACCACATAAGAATTTGCACACAAATGTTTTTAGCAACACTATAATAACCAAGATAGAAATGAAATTGGAAACATCCTGAAGTCTATCAACTGGAGAATGGATAGAAGAAAGGTGGTATGTCCATACGATGGAATACAATTAAAAGGAACAAAACACAAGTAAATATATCCTACAGCATGGATGAACATCGAAAACATTACGCCCCATGAAAGAAGCCACACCCAAGAGACCTCGTATTGTATGATTCTGTGTATATGAAATATCCAGAAAAGGCAAATCATAGAGACAGAGAGTAGGTTAGTGGATGCCTGGGGTGGGAGAGGGGGAATAGGAGTAAGACTTAATGTGTGTGATAGATCTTATTAGAATGAGGAAAATACTTTAAAACTGACTTATGAAGATGGTTATACAACTTGGTAAGTTTACAGAAAATACTGAATTGTACACTTAAATTGTATGATATGCAGAATATGATTCAGTAAAGTTATTTTAAAAACATGGATATAGGAGAGAGGCCATTTAAAATGTCTAAGACATGTTAAACGCATGCTTATGATTCTAAATCGCCATTGGTTTATGCTGTGTTTTTCACCAGAATTTGCTTATCTGTTATAAAAACCACCCCATTCCCTGCCTGTGGAATGTTAAGTTTGCATGCAAGACAATAAAGTCTCCCTTGATTCAATTTACAGTTGTTCTGAAAAAGCAGCAGCCTCATAAAAATGGAAATTTATCTAAATTTGTAAAACAGAACAAAGTGAGGTAGAATTTCCACTTTCTTGAAAGTTTGTTTTTAGGTTTTTAGCTGCTAAAAA